CTTAGGAGAATATATTAAGAAACACAATGCTTAAGGTTGCAAGACAACTCTACTCTACCTTACACCTCTTGGATACTGCCTTCGTAAAAGTCTGCAATTTCTGAAACCATAAAATGTTTCTTGTAGTTAACATCATTAGCTCACTTCTATCTTCAGGTGGCTTTGAGCATCAGTCCCTGATAGCCTTTGGCTTGAGCTCTGTGTATTGATTTATGCTCATGCCATTATAGTACTAATTGCTACACAACCAAAATAAGTGTTTCATGTTCACTTTGACAGAGGATTTAATAACTGGGATGCTCCAAGACAGCAGAGCATGTAGATCTTCAGTTTCAAAATTACTTCAGACATGACCTGCAGACCATGTCCTCCATTAGCTGTGTTTTGTCACCTTCCCTCTCAGCCCCAGGAAAGACTTCTGGTGCCTTTACAGCACCTGCATTTGCCTCCTCATGTCAAATGTATGTCCAATCAGAAGGCAAAGATGAGCAATTCCTCTTGCTCATAGCCGTGCCCTCATGTTGATCTAAGTCATGCTGTGGGGGCTTGACTGCTGCTCAACGCACTGTCAGGATATATCTTGGCCTTCTGATACCTTCAACAGAGTTCAAGATCTTGCCCAGATGCTTTTATTGTCCTTGTTTCTGGGCTGTCTGCAAAACCTTTAAGCCATTATGAATAAGGGGAGAAGAATCATTGTACAACTCTAGGTTGAAGCTTAAGTCTTTAATACTGCTCTTGGTTTCTTGCCTATAATTTTTAAAGGTCTTTAAATACAAGACACTGCTCTGCAGTAGATCCAGGTGCTAAGTGCATGCTAGGAAATGAGAATCTGGAGACCTGGCTGTAACAGCTCAGACCTAATCACTGCTGCTTCAATGCAAAGCCTTTTCTTACACTGACAGAGTGAGGGCGTCTGAGTGGGGCCCTCCATAGCAGCTTCTTTACACTATTTAATGGTATGTGATTGAATACGGATTGCCCAAAGGTTTCATAAAATCCTGGAAAGCACAAATACAAGTGACTTTCAGTGGAAATCAAACACCTAATTGGCTTTCAGCTTCAACTTGAAGTAATAACAATACTGGAAACTGCACTGAAGGAAGAACAGTTTAAAGCTGCTGCCCTAAAGCAGTTACCTTGCACTACTTAGATGTCAGGAATGCTAGCTGCAGGGCCTAATAAAAGTGTTCTGCTGCCTCTTTATGTAGCTTTTGAAGCACAGTATCTCTGAACAATCACAAGTTGCTTGTTTTAGTGAAAAATATTAAAATGTAATGTATTAATTAATCTTGGTATTATCTCCCTGCCTTCGTTAAAAAACAGGAGGCTGGCATTCACTGGGTCACCACAATGGCCCTTGGTCCAGTGTCCTCTTCTTTCTTTGTGGTGATTGGAGGCTTTTAAAAAAACCAACAACTTATGTTAAGGCCCTGTGAACAGGTATGAGCTGGTCTGCCCGTGAAGGAAATCTCTGTGTAACTCTATGTTTAGTTGGCCTATAAACTAATAATTATATTGGCTTATGGCTCAGTGGATGGAAGACCTCACCCCAAATGTAATTGTTTACAATTTACCTTTTTGATTGCTAGTTCTTACGAATATAATTTTTATATTAAAAGACCTTCAAGGAATGTAAAACATTATAGCAGTACTAAAATACGGGTAAAAATAAAACCCTTCCTTTTTGCATGGACACGGTACTTCACCTAATTTGGTTGTCTGCCTAGTGATAGCATCATTATTAATCAATATCATACCCCGTATATATTAACTTATACATTTGTTTCTGGTAGTATTACAAGGAAAAATGAATGGACATTAAAAAAATCAGGCAATCCATTTGTATGGCATGTCTTTACTGGTACTAATTTAATATTTAGATTTCATGCAAAGGTAATGTAGATTTTATGAATTAGAAAAAATATAGCCACAAAGTAGTCTGCATGTAAGTATGTTCATAAATTGCAAAATATATGTTCCAAATGCTGTAGTGAGGAAAGATCCTTAGATAATGCAAATCTTCAGTAAAAGCAATGATCTGCCCCAAATGAATAACCTGTACTTCAGGGTCTAGACATATAAATTCATCCTGGCATAATGAACTCCAGTTCAACCTGGAAACTTTAAGTGGTGGTGACTAACTCCTACTCATCTCTTTTCCTGGTGATTATGGTCACTGAACCAAACAGTAAGGTGCAGAGATCACAGTCAGTTAGGCAGACACAACCTCAATTACTGGGAAGTTAAACCCTCTATTATTTGCCCTGCTGTCACACTGAAAATGGTAATTGCCCATTTTAGCAGACTTCCATTGCCTTGCATAGTTTCCATATGCTTTGTAACAGGTATGTTACCTTAGATTGGCTTGGTCTTTTTCAAAGTTAATAATCTTCTAAGTCTCTCTTCAACAAGATTGACATTAGGACCCCTATAACAGGGAGTTCAAAAAGTGTTAAACCGGTGTACGTTTTGTATGCTTTGAATATTTTTTTGAAAGATTGCTGCAGCAGAGCTGAAAACTCAGACTGATTGAGCTTGTGGCCCATGAATATCATCTCAAGGCAACCTGTCCTTTTTTATCTTCAGGCTTTGAAGAACAAAGACTCATGCACACAGCAGACAGTGACGTTTTGAATGCTGGCAGAGCTATAAGACTTAGTGCAGGTGGAAACAACCTGTCTGCTCTTGTGACAAGCTGAGTATGGAATCTTGAGATACTCCAAGAAATGATCTAGTGGATCATGACATGCTTCCCTAGCCATCTGTCCTAAGCATTTACATGTAGCATAAATCATTGTGCAATCTCAATGCTTACAAAATATTTCAGGGATAGGGAACTACGGTCTGCATTTTGCAAATAGTGAAGCAGAGAGAAGATAAATGATTTGCCCAGAATGTGACAGAATCTGCATTTAAACTGGGTAAGAGAAGCAAAATAGTCTGTGCAAATCTTCTACTAGAATCACAAATGAGTAGAATTTCTCACCCTCCCCTACCAAAACCCACCCACAAACTACTTGAGATTGATAGGCACAAACCATGATTTTCATTTCATTCCCTTGGGTAATTTGCAAGTAAAACCACACAAAATAAGTGGTTTGGGGATTGTTTGATATGTACATGATTCTCCTGATGTTTATGTTACAAGACTTCCCAAGGTTCAGTGAATATTTTGCTACTTTTCTTAACCAGATGGTTAATTTGAGACATTTTACATAACCTGCCCTTTTCAGCAAATGCCAGTGAGTAAAGTTTTTGCCTCCTTATTATATATGCTTCAAGTGACTTGCTAGAAAGCTATATTAACAAGAAGTTTATATTGTACTGTCTCTCTTTGCTATATCCATCTGATATTTGACATGCTCCACCTTGCTGCCTGCCCGATGACAGGGTTCCCAAAAGCTTTCAAAAGTACTAAGGGAAAGCCTTCAAAGACTGTTTACCTCTCTTTAAGAGCAAGATCAAGCAGTGCACAATACTTTTCAGCCACAAAGTCAGGCACTAACCCTTTTATCAGTTAAAGACTTAATTAAAAAAAAAAATAAACAACCCAAACTCAAAAAGCTTATTATAAGTTGTGTTATTACCTGTTCTACTCTATAACCAATATTAATCAGTCAATACAAAGCACCCTTTCTTCTGGCTGGAAAATGCAATTTCGTAAGTTTTTTTTTATCCTTCCACCTGTTCATTTCCCTGAAATACATCCTTCACAGTACTTACTCTCTGTGACTTTTGTGCCCTGCTTTTTGCCAGACTTTTCCTGGCAAATGACCTCTATCTCAAATGGCTGGTGTGTCAGTTTCATTACCTGTTCTCAGCTAATAACTGTATGTAATTACATACATATTACTGAAAAAGTCCTTGATCTGAGTAAACATTAGTTAGCAGCAACTAAAAACATTGGTGTGTTATCAGTACTGTTCTCAGACTAAAGCTGCAAACAGCATTGCACCAGCTACAAAGGAGGCAAAAGTAACTGTTACAAGTGAACCCAGGACACTGTATCGTTCAATGAAGTCACACCTATTCTTCAGGTATGCCTAGCTCTCAGACAAAAAACCCCATAAAATGTTATTCTCGCTTTTCCACATATTGTTCAGATCCAGATATTCTCTGCTAAAAAGAAAAAGGTTTAGAAATAAAAATATTTTACAAATTAAAAAAAAAAGCTTTACGAATCAAAGGAAAAATAAATGTAAAACATCTATTTTTTTTTTTTTCTTAGAAATGTTACATAATCATCGAGGATATCAGCCCTTATTGGGATGCTTCCTGACAAATGGAATCATGGCAAAATAAAACCACTTTCATGCAGATACGTGGTACACATGAGGAAGACCAAAGCTGTATGAAACAGCTCTGAAATGAGTGTTTGACTCTGGGTTAAAAATTTGCACGGAGGCCCTTAAATCTGCTAAGTAAATTCCCATGGTTTTCTAATAACCAATATTCATTTTGCTAGGATTAGACAGACTGCATGCTTTGTATTTGCTGAAGATCATATTTGTTTCTCAGTCTTTGCCACTGATTTTAAGAAACCAGAGGAAATAAAATTATTACACTTATTTAGTCTGTACATGGTACCTATTTATTTAGCAGTCTTCTGCTTGAAATTTATAGCATGTAAGCACTTTCGATAAATTATAAAACTATGGGAAACAAGGGAAATAATAACAGCCTTCTATTCTTATCATGAGGGACATCTTTACATTGCTGCTTCTCCTGTGTTATCTGTTTATCTGGGAAACCTCTTTCTCTGTCTTTGTTGCATTCTACCCCATGTTTTAAGGATGTAAATCACATTTATTGGAACATGCAGGTATTTCTACAAGGTTTAGAAATATGTCACTTGTACAGTTTAGAGCCATATGCCACAGCCTAGCTTCCCTCATGCAGCATTCTTCTCAGACTTGTTTTCTAAAATCAGCCTGATGTCTTTTTTCCATTCTCAGATACAGAGAGTAGCACTGTAATTTTAAGAAGGGGGCACTTACTCATTGTTGTGTGTATCAATGGTATGAAAAAGTTCATGTAGTTCTTCTCCACTCAGAATTCCATCCGCAAAGTAAGCTTTGAATTCATCAAAGGAGAGTTTTCCATCATCTGAAACAATGAAGAAATGGAAAGTGCTTTTGTTTTGTTTATAGTTCTGCCTGTTTATTTCACACAATACAAGGGGAAACTATTAAAAACCTCTAGCTCTTCAGACTAAATGTAGAAAATTCACATATCTGATCAAGACACATGAAGAACATGATGCTAAGTGCTGTTGTGTCAGCTGTTGCATCAGAGTTCTCAATTTGCCTGGTATCTCTTCTTCCTTCTTATCTTTCAGGCAAAGTTAGTTGGTAAGTCTTTATTGACAAATGCATGAACATAGTCCTATCTTTGCCCAGATCCCATTCATTGTCTCCTCTCCCCATCCTGCCATATGCTTTCCTTACTCAGTCCCTGCCCATGTCCTCACATATTCATGGAAGATCATTGACTAATGTAGTGAGTTTTAAAAGCAAGACTGATAATCAGCAAACAAAAGCCAAAACAAAAGATCCACCTTTTGCTTTTATGTAGAAGAAATTTGAATGGTTAAAGGGTAGATAAGTAATAATTTATTTAAATTGACTGAGCCTTGAGAAGCATAAAGAAAATTCTAAAAGCCTAACACCTTATAACTCTGTTTTGGGTAGCACTAAATTTAAGTTTACATGTCTCTTTCTCTTCCTTCAGTAATATACTGAAACCCTCATAGAGCACTAAACAACTGTAAAGGGTAAGATTAAGATGTCCTAAATACTAAACTAATCTACAACATATTGTGGCCTAATTTCATAGTGGTGAAGAATCTATTATAAAGGCAGTATCTGAATCCTGTAACTACATGCTATACTACAGCATGCAGATTTGAAGAGCAGAGCTCAGGGGTTTCCTCACTCTGTTATTATTTCATCATTTCTTTGACTTGAATATATGGCTTCACATACATAATCTTCAAGGGGCTTGAAAATTGTACAAATTAACTGTGTGCTTCACCAAAACATTTTGAAATGTTCAGTAAGAAAAGACAGATTGTAGCTGGAGATAATCATCATTATGATCAAAATAAAATGTCAAGATGTACAAGAGCTAAAACCAAGGATGGCACAATACTGCCGTGCCTACCTAACTGAGAATCTAAATACATTTGCTGTTTGGCACTGGCTATGGAGAAGGAATATCAAACACTGAGCTTGTTGAAACAAGCTTTTCATAGCTCTGCTTCCTTTGATTCATATGGATACAATTGATTGTTTAAACAAACTGCCTCTGCAGCTTTAGCCTTTGCTGGGAATTAGTGATTTGCATGGAAGTTACACACATACTGAAGAAACTAGTGATTTTTTTGGCAACTTTCCTGAGATGAACATATTATAACTTTATTCATAGAACAGTCTGGGTATGACACAAACCCTAAAACATCTGTCTATCCCTCTTCTTCAGGATCATTTGCTTTACATCAATCCAGAAAACTAATCATCTGCCAACAGACAGGTTGGACACTTTAGCTATTTTCTTTACACTTTACCATCCAAGAGCAGACATTGACTTTTGCTTCATTGCTACTTATGCTCAATAACATTTTGGATGTTATCAACACTGACTGACACATCACAGAGCCTGTGGCTGTCAAAACAGGAGGTCTGAACCTATTTGATGACTGGAAAAAGGGAAATATAACCCCTCATTTTCAAGAAGGGGAAAATGGATGACCCAGGGAATTACAGACAGAGTGTCACCTCTTGTGCCTGGCAAAATCTTGGAGCAGATTCTCCTGGAAGGCATGCTAAGGCACATGAAAAACAACAAGGTGCTTGGTGACAGCCAGCATGGCTTCACTAAAGGGAAATCCTGCCTGACCAATTTGGTGGCCTTCTGTGGTGGGGCTACAGAACTGATGGACAGGGGTTGAGCAGTTGGTATCATCTACCTGGACTTGTGCAAAGTGTTTGACACTGTCCCACATGACATCATTGTCTCTAAATCGGAGAGACTTCAATTTGATAGGTGGACACCTCAGTGGATAAAGAACTGGCTGGACTGATGCCTGTGAAGAGTTGTGGTCAATGGCTCAATGTCCAGCTGGAGACCAGTAACTAGTGGTGTCCCTCAGGGATCGGTGTTGGGACCGGTCTTGTTCAGCATCTTTGTCGCTGACATGGACAGTGGGATTGAGTGCGTCCTCAGCAAGTTTGCCGATGACACCAAGCTGTGTGGTTCGGTTGATACGCTGGAGGGAAGGAATGCCATCCAGAGGGACCTTGACACGCTTGTGAGGTGGGCTGATGCCAGCCTCATGAAGTTTAACCATGTCAAGTGCAAGGTCCTACCCCTGGGTCTGAGCAATCCCAGACACAGCTACAGGTTGGGCAGAGAATAGATTCAGAGCAGCCCTGCGGAGAAGGACTTGGGGGTGCTGGTCGATGAGAAAATGAACATGAGCTGGCTTCAGTGTGCGCTTGCAGCCCAGAAAGCCAACCATATCCTGGGCTGCATCAAAAGGAGCATGACCAGCAGGTCGAAGGAGGTGATCCCGCCCCTTTATTCTGCTCTCGTGAGACCTCACTTGGAGTATTGTGTGCGGTTCTGATGTCCTCGACATAAAAAGGTCATGGAACTGTTGGAACAAGTCCAGAGGAGGGCCACGTGAATGATCAGGGGACTGGAGCACCTCCCATATGAAGATCGGCTGAGAAAGTTGGGGCTGTTCAGCCTGGACAAGAGAAGGCTGCATGGAGACCTCATAGCAGCCTTCCAGTATCTGAAGGGGGCCTATAGGGATGCTGGGGAGGGACTCTTCGTTAGGGATTGTACTGATAGGACAAAGGGTAACGGGTTCAAACTTAAACAGGGGAATTTTAGATTTGATATAAGGAAGAAATTCTTTCCTGTTAGGGTGGTGAGGCACTGGAATGGGTTTCCCAGGGAGGCTGTGAATGCTCCATCCCTGGCAGTGTTCAAGGCCAGGTTGGACAGAGCCTTGGGTTATACGGTTTAGTGTGAGGTGTCCCTGCCCATGGCAGGGGGGTTGGAACTTGATGATCTTGAGGTCCTTTCCAACCCTAACTATTCTATGATTCTATTTGGTTATACATAGACTTCATACGGTTACGTTTAAAAAAAAAAAAAAAAAAAAGCTCTGATTCTCCAGGGCATTTCTCTGATTTTCTATGAATGCAACTGCTTTGCTAGTGCAGCTGGGGACTTGGCTGCTGGTGGCTCAGGCCACCCCTGCACTTCCTCACTGCTCAGATGAAGTGCAGACCCAGCTCCTAACACGTGCTCCTTGTGTTGTGTGTTTGAAGACATGTTTCATAGCTAATTTTCTGTTTCAGGTGTCAAGAATGGGTTTTATTTTAAAGGCTGCATTACATACCCTCAGCACTGCTTCCCTGGGGCTCACCTTCACTGCCCTCGGAGCACCCACATATGTACTGCCTGGTTTAAGTGCTTCAGAGCAGCTGAACAGAAATCTCCATTACAGATGCTTCAATCTGTGCCTCTGTGGCAAAATGATAGGGGACAGATGATTCATGATAGACAGACTTCTCTGAAGCCATGCATCCCTCAGACAAATCAACCTTCAGCAGTGTTTGCTTTGGAAACATTATCTTAAATAAGCTGTTCTGCAACTTCTGCTTGCTTCTGTGTGTCTGCTCTGCTTCCGCTTGCTTCTGTTGTTCTGCTTGCTTCTGTGTGTCTGCTCTGATGTCTGTGAAAAGCAGGGTTCCCTCAAAAACAAGCACAGTTGCCCCTTCTCCTTGGAGCCAAACACTTCTGACTGGCAGATAAAATCATAAACAATCAAATGAGTATCCCTATGTAGTGCTTGCAAGTTTAGAAATATATTTACAGTGTTTTATGGGAGCAATTGCATTCTTACATTTATTTCTGTAAAATTCACCTCTCTATTGAATAGATGTTTTAATGTATAAAATAGGATCTAGTGATATCCCCCAGCCAGTCTGCTCCAGAAACACAAGCAGTCTCTAGGACATATTTTTGATGGCTTACAGTTGCCTTATACACAGAGAGAATGAAGCAGTGGGGGGCACACACAGGACAACAGACACAAGTGGGTGGAAGCAGATACAAAACATTGAAAAACACCTGATTCATTGGCATATGGCACATAGGCTGGAATCAGACCAAGGAAAGACCTGCCAAAATAATAAGGTTCAGTGTGCCAAAGAGTATGCTTATAACCTGTACTAGGTCCCAGGTATAAAAAATTGCATTAAAAAAGGCACAGACACAGACTGAAGGTTTAAAGATTCTAGGCAAATGCACTAAACTTTTATTGACTCTGGTCTGTATTAAGTGTTGATAAAACCAGAAATAAAGATTTTGAGCCATTACTGCAGCTGTTATGCTGGGAAAGCTCGGTGCATGTAACCGTGTGGTCCCAAGGAGACTAAGTGAATAGGGAGATGGTTTTGGTTTAAAAACAGGCATTTGATCTTTATAGAAATAAATTTTTGGAATCTGGAGCACAGAGTCCAGCCCTGCAGCACCTGAAGGACCAAGGGAGGTGGCATGGGGAATGCCACCCAAAGCAGAGCCTGGGCTGTGAAACAGGATCCAGAGTGGTGGCTGCAGTAGATCCAGATGGTCAGGAAGCAAATAAGCAACCACTGCTGCCTATGAAATAAGGGAGGTAAACATTTTTCTTGATTACAAAAGACTGCATTTGGCAGCTCCAGTTTCTGGTATTCCTTTGCTCTCTCCCTTGCAGGCTAGGGACAAGGTTTTACTTTTTGAGAGGAATCTAATGAGTCTGATTTAGTTTTAAACAGCAAAAGCAATGAAATAAATTAAGAACTTTGCTTTTAGCTGGATTTTTTCCACAGCAGTTCTGTGTGAAATCCACATGCTTTCCTTTGAATGCATAGAGTTCTGTAAAGTAAACCTGACCAGTATTTCATTTTGACATGCAAACCTGAAACTCCTCCTTTCCAGAAAGGCCAGCACGTAACACCTCACCTTTATGAAATTACTTCTTTCCCCTTGGGGTTCTCTGCTGCTTTTGTCAATATTACGCACCATGTATTTCTTAGAAATGTGATATTCCTTCCCTATGTCTTGTGCTCCCTCTAGGAAAATCACACAACCTTTTCAGTTATGCAAGGAGTGTGGATCTTCTCCATACAGTGCGGAGCTGATCACCCATGAAATAAGAACTATAGACTGAGTGTATGACGCTGACCCACTTTGGGAAGCTGTGCATAGTGGTATTTCGAGAAACAGGAAGGTAACAGAATGATTTAAGTACCTGAGCTGGCAAAGAAAGAAGCCACCACCACAAAAGAAACAACATTTGTACAGCTTCTTTCAAATAGGGCAGGGACTAATAAAGGAGCTTCTCAATTAAACCCTGCTGTCATAAATCACTGTAGTATTTTTAAGTAACAGCAATTCAGCAGGATTTCTTGGCTCTTTTGATCTCTTATTTGATATTGTCATTGCAGAACCACTGTCTGCCTTTGTTGTGGAAGGCTAACCTGAAGTTCCACAGTCCCTAAATTCCTATCTCCTATAATACTCTTACTTATCAGCTTAATTTACTTTTTTGGATGGATGCTGTCAAGCAAGTGTATAGTATGGGTTTTGGTGCTAATTTTATGGGGGGGTGTTTTAATCTCACAAGAAAAAAAGTAGAGCAGCTCTGAAAGAGCCCTATTAAAAGTGTATGAGAGAGCTTAACAGGGCCATGTCATGGACAGTAACATAGTATTTGTTACTGTAAGCCAATACTTGTTTTCCCATTACTCAGAAGGGTGACACTGAAAATGTATCCTAGTCATTAACAAAAGGTTAAAATCTGTGTTGACAACAGTGTAAACATGTTAGGCAAGTCTTCTCATATCCAATAACCTTTCAGAGAAGGGACTTCCCAGCCTTAAAACAAACTTCCTCCCCATTAATGTGGCACAAGCATGTGCAGTGCTGGATTAGCAAAGTGGAAGTCCCACGGGCAATTGACGGTTGAGCAAACCCAATTAAGCACATAAGAGCTGAAACAATTTCAAGTTCATGGACTTAAATTAACAGAATTAAAGTGAAGTTAACAGAACTAACTGAAGTTAGCCACTTTTCTACCACTATGTTGTAAAGCATCCACATATATAGGTATGAATGCCAGCGACCAAAGTCTCGGCAGCTGATGTGGTTTCGTATGGTGCTGGTACAAGCATGTTTGTCACTGTGTGCGCTGTTTCCCCTAGTTTTTATAGCAATGTGTACGTAATAAGCTGTGGGGTAAACCCTGTGAGGCCTGCAAGTCTTCCTGACCACCAAGGTGCTGTGGATCCACCACAGCTGAGACAGAGCATGAGCTCAAATTTCAGGGCAGGGACATGAAGCTGCAGGGGCCCTTTTCTCCTTGCCATCCCAGCCCTCCTCTTGGGATTCAGCTTGTAGCACCACTGCCCTTGCAAGCCACTGGCAAGCTGACTGAGGGGAATAACAAAAACACTACCAAAAAAACTATCACAGTGATGGATTTCGTGGCCCCTGAAGTCTCTGAGGGAGCCTGCCATGGTCTCGTGGGAAGTGCCAGTTGCTGCATGAGCTGGGGGCGGAATAGCAATTGGAGGTGGGCTGTGTGGGTGAGACTGCCCTCTCAGCAACAGTAAACAGCTATTCAACAGGCTCAGTTATTACACCAAACCATACAGTAGCCCCTTACTGTCCAATAGTTCTTCCTTGAAAGTTGTTCTGATTTTCATAATGGTGTTCTTCAGATACCTGAGTACACTTTATTGAACCTGCACTATACCTGTTTTCTTAGGATTGATTGTCAGGGTTAAAGCTGTTTGAGCTGTGGGTTTAACACTGCTCAATGCTTTCAGGGAAAGACAAAAGTCTGGCCAGTGCTTCTTCAACAAGTCACATCCCCTTCTTCCTGTACTTTGGTATTACAGTACTAAATAACTGCTTTTTATTACAAGGAAACTTGTGTTTCCTTCTTGCCCTGCAAGAGCTAACTCTGGTTATCAGAGTGAAGTATAAATACTATTATGGTAACTGCAGAGCTACAGAAGCTCTTCATAGCCTCAAACATGCCAGATCTCGTGGTCTGTGTGATGCAGAGACAGGCTAGCGGCTTCATTTCGCTGCTGGGGTATGTGGCACAAAACCAAAAATGGAACTTGTCCAAAATTGTGCAGCAATTCTGAGATGGAAAAGGGGGTTAAAGTCATGTTCCAAACCATGACTATGTATACAGCAAAAAAAATCCAGTAGTTACATTTGCAGTCCTTACAGCAAGGACCTTTCCCTGCTGCATGGGAGCATCTGTGAAGCCTTACAGTACCTTGCTGTACGTGGGCAAAACTTCTGATGAAGAAAATAACAAAAACTCACAACTTTTGTGTTACATCTTGAGCTCAAGCGTTTATCCTGCCTACTGACATGCCAAACAAACACATAACTGCAAAATGTAGGAAACAAGTCTGATTGCTGGATACAGCCTATGGTGTTCTTAAAATGTCATGAGATGGAGCTACTAACAAGTATTTCAAACCTTGTGAACAGATGTCACTAAGACAACACCCACGTGCACCCAAAGTGCAAATCAAAAATATATGCCAAATTGTGAAAGCACAAGATCTGCCCTTGAAGAATTCATAGGGAGGATCAGTGCACAACAGAATACATTGCATGAGGGATGTCTGGTTTTCATGTTAGGATGTTTAAAGCATGACTTAAAATGCTGAATCGATGATGGATGGGTTTTTTTTCCAAAGGGAGAGGGGAAGACACAGTCTTACCATTCTTGTCTGCTCTTCTTAATATCTAAACAAAAAGAGAGAGAGAACAGAATCACTCCTTTTTTAATGGGTTAATAGCACACAATACAATTTAGTGGGCAGCTATAGTTTGATGTCTGCCTTCCCTCACATCATTGTTTTCCTTAACTCCTCCTGTGCCATGTGCACTGAAAACCAGGACCATAATCAGAACTGGCTTTTATTTTCTAGGTTGTGCATGGCTTGTAAGGATGATGTTCAGGCATAAAACCTCATACTGTATGGCTACCATGATACTGAATTCAAGGTTGAGAAAAGTGGTTTAAGGAACCAGAGTAAGGATGAGAGCTGGGAGGATGTGCTGAGCATCTGAGACGGTGAGAAAGACTCAGGGGTTTGTGGGTGGAGGGAACAAAGGTATAAGTCAGGAGAGGAGCTGGATGGCATTAAGGGATCACACTGAGTGTGGGAGGCAGTGAGATCAAATGTGTGGGAGCTGATATGAGGATTTCTCTGATAGAAAGTAGAAACCAGATGCAGAAGCAAGGGGAGAAGGAAAACACAGAGGTTTATAAGCTGGGAAGGCAAAGGAGCATGAGGGTGCCTGCTGTAGATCCTTCCCTGCAATACTTCTGCCATGGAAACTGTGCATGACCCCAGCTTACCCTCATGGTGTGCAAGCTGCCTTTTCTCCCCACTGTAAATGGCACCTGCTGAAGACATTTAAATATGCAGGCAGTCTGCAACTCCTTGTGCAAAGCCTGAGAAGAGGATCCCGAGGGGAGCCCCCTGTGAGCAGAGGTTGCAAAACCTTCCAAGCAGCCCTGCATTGGTGGCAGGACACAGCAACAACCCACCCAGGATTGTATGCAGGTGTACTGCCATGTCTTATGCTGGTGAGATGCTGGCATGCGTGCCAGTCCCTGCTGCAGTCCCACTGCAGGTACCATGACATTAGTCCACACTTAGGAGAAGGGATCAGGCACAGGGAGCAGAACCAACAGAGGGGGTCTCCTTCAGTTTCTTTGCTCTCCAGATGAGGTAGGTCTGCTGTGGCATGGGTCACCATGTGACACTTCGGATATGTGCGGCTGCCTTCCACTGTCACCCTGCTGTGCCTCTGGGTGTAGACTCCATCACTACTTCAGCCTGAACTTCAATGGGGAGTTGTCTGGGCAGTGCTCCAAGTTTACACAAGGGAAGAAAGCAAAGCTTCCAAATACAGTTTCTATTGTTGCTATGAATATTAGTAAAGAGTTTCAAAATGGGCACATACATTTTTGAGAGCTGGCAGCAGTGGAAACACTCTGGTTTGATAAACTCCTGGTATTGTTTAAAAAGGTTCTCTAGCACATGCCGTAACTGCTCTGCTCCCAGAGGTGAAACCAAGTGAGAAACCCAAGGACTGAGGTGCCAAGGTCTGTTAGAGCATCTTCATGTCTGTGTTCTATAGGAAAATTGGAGGGGAGCTAGCAGAATTCTTACCCATATCCAGAACTTCACTAATAGTCTCTAAGCTGAACTTTGCACTGGACCAAGTTTGCAGCACATAAAATATGAAATTAACTTACTAAGATGCAGCTCAATTTTCAGTATGAAGATTGGACTGTTCAGGGTTTTTAAATTTCTACTCTTAAACTGGAAGTTTTATCCTAATGAGAACTAAAGACTAAATGCAGAGCAAATGAAAGATCAGTAAAAGCATTACTTGAATAAAATAAAACCTGTCTATAATCCTTAACAGGTAAAACACAGTCCCACATTCCTGGCAATTTTGCCTGGATTCGGGGGGAGGGGGAACTGTTGTTGGTCTTTCTCCTGTCTTACTGGCAAGCAGCCTCCTTTCCTTCTGAGATCTGATAGCCTTCTTCTGCCCAGTTACACTCAATAAAAGGGAACAGCAGGTGCCTCCACATAAATGGAAGCACTGAAACCCTCCTCCTTGCCTCACAGGTGCCTGGGCTGGGCTGCTCGCTGTGTCTGATGGGAAAGAACAAGGTGTGCTTTAGCAGGGAGATAAATATACCCAGCATGGGCCTGAGCAATATTAGCAGATGATCACTGACTTGCGCCATGAATAGCAAGGGCCTGTGTGGAGCCACATGGGTGATACAGCCACACCAGGTGATGTAGCCCACACCCTGTGCATGACTTCTATGTCACCAAGACTGCTGGGTGTTCTGGCTTGGCTTATTGGTGGACAGGACTAGGACAGCTGTAGCAGCAGAGTTTCAACCAACTAGAAGTGCTCCGTAAATATGGGTCAAAGGTGGTAAAGGTTTCTGCAGAAGTAATTTTATGGATTTATTTTGAAATTAACTTTAATTAATTTTTATGTATTTATCATTACCGTAACTTTTAATTAATTATTTTTCTTTTTTTTTTTTTTTATTAAGGAGATGTTAAAATCATTTGGACACTTGATAGGGATTTTGACACAAAACCAGGGAAGAGATATTCTGACAATTAGCAGTTTCCTAACCCAGTGTGATGAGTTAAACTGGGGAGTTGGCTCAAGCTAATATTTTTTAACTCTTTCCTGGCTAGTGTGGTTTCTCTTCTGTCTTTGTGATGTATGCCTCTAATTCTCCAGTTTCTCTTACAAGTGGTATTTACATTCAGAAAAGCTGCATTTTCCTTATACACTTGAACAGATATAAAAAGCAACAAATAGTCTAATTTAAATGCTTTCTCACAGTCTTGAGAAATCGGGAGATGAGCAGATGGGAGCTGCTTGAAATAATTTGTGGAAAATGTTGGGGAAGTTGATGTGGGCATATTAGAAAAGCTAGATGAAGGATCCTTTAATAAAGTACTGATATTGTGGACTAACCCTGGTACAAGAGTTGGTCTTAAGTAGATCTAAGTTGGTAGTAGAGCTGGTCTGAAGATATGTAGGTCTCGCCGGGGACAGGTGAGATGCAGGGGATACCTTGGAATGTTTGGGTGGGAGTTTGCCTTTTATCAGGACTTGCCTCAGACCAAGGAAATGCTCTGAGCTGGGCATATTTAGACCAAAACTTCAGAGCTGCATCTTGTGAGATACCGAGCCCTTGGTAATGGTCTAGCCCAGCACCCCTGAGGGGTAGGATGGCACCTTGCTGGGCTACCCCTCAAACAGCTGAGAGGCTTAGAGGTACATCAACCGTGGGCACCTCGAATCCATCCAGGTCTAATGGGATGGGAGGGAACCCACACAGTTTGGGAAAAACACCTGCGGTGTGAGCAATGCTTCACTGAAGAGCCCAGAGAAAAAAATAACAGAAATCCAAGCACTGTATTCTGAAATGTGACAGTGTTTTCACCCAGCACCTCTCCTAACTGCTAACGGGCTCTCCTCCCACATGCATGCCACCAGAAGAAGCAAACTCATTCCACTCATGAGCATTTTAAATGCTAAAAATATTAAAAAGGAAAGGAGAAACAGGAAAAGAGAAAGGGAAAAGAAGGAAAGGGAAAAGGGGAAAGGGGAAAGGGAAAAAGGAAAGGGGAGGAAAGGGAGAAAGGGAAGGGGGAAAGGGGAAAGGGAAAGGGGGAAGGGAAAAGAAAAGGGAAACGGGAAAGTGAAAAGGAAAACAGGAAAGTGAAAAAAGGAAGGGAAAAGGGAAAGGGGAAAGGAAAAGAAAAAGGAAAGGGGAAAAGGAAAGGGAAAAGGGAAAACAGAAAATAAAAAGGGAAAAGGGAAAGGGAAAAAGGAAAGGGGAAGGGAAAGCAAAAAAAGGAAAGGGAAGGAGAAGGAAAAGAGGAAAGAGAATGAGAATAAAAGGAAGGGGAAAGGGAAGAGGAAAAGGAAAGGGGAAGGGGAAAGAGAAAGGGAAGGGGAAGGGGAAAAGGAAAGGAAAAAAAAAAGAAAAGGAGAAAAGAAAGGGAAAGCAAAAGACCCACTGCTCTGTTATGTTTCTCTCCTTCCCACCCCAGGGAGGAAAGGAGGGGGGAAAAAGGGCAAAACATAAAAAAATAAAACACACACGACACGCACCCCCCAACTGCTGGAGGGAGGAGTTCATGTGAGGGATGCCGCGTACTCACATCGCGGAAGATGCGCAGCCCCGCTCCCGGCTCCGCCGCCATCCGTCCGCCGCAACCGTCGCCGCCCCCCGGTCAGGCTGGTGGCTTTGGGCAAGGCCGAGCCGCACGCCCCGCCTCGCCTGTCGCTGGAAAAGCACCCAAAAGAGGCTGGGGAGGGGCTGCTGCTGCTGCTGCTGCTCCCGTTCGCTCGCGGGGACTCGGGGAAGAGTTTGCACCGTTCTGCTCCGCAGGCATCTTGTTGAGCCTTTGAAGTGGGCTCGTGGAGAGACTTGCGCTCTCTCCATGGCAGACACTGGGTTCTTGCAGCCTGCCTTTGTCAGGCCAAGTTTTCATCGTCACTTTGGCTGCTTTCCCCTTGAGTACACTCACGTGGGGGTGATCTTTCTTGGATCACAGGACTGGCCATGCTTTGAGGTCACCCTAGTGCAAAGAGGTGATGGGGTGAAACAGAACTTCACGTGGCTGATGGAGACACTATGATCAGCTGCATTCTACAAAAGCATTTGGGCTTGAAAATACGGTCCTTGAATATAATAAAGTTGCCTGGTCAAAAATCAGGGGCTGGGAGGAACTGGGAGTGCTTGTGTTTTTTGAGATGGAGCAAATGGGGAGCTGTGAGATAGGGCAGGAGCAGGCTCTGCAAGGTGAATGCAGGGGAGGAGGAGGATGTTGGGGTGAGGGGGAAAGCAGTCCTGAGGGAAACTTCTGTTTGTGTTATTTCAGACGTATGCCAGGAGGCTATTATATGGACATCACATAATGGGGGCTTTGTCTTTGTTCTCCTACCGTGCACCACTAGCAATGATACATTATACGTTACTGTGTTGTTATACATGATGCATTATATCATCATATATTATTACAGATTATATAAAACATAAAAATTGTTAGAGCGAAGTTTCTGCTTTAAAACACCTTCATGTCACCTTCATGTACAAAAAGCCTCAGCTGTGGCATAGCTTGCTGTGCATGAGTGTTCCTGATTCTTTAACCTCCGTTCCTACATTACAAAAGAAAACCTGAGAGAGGAGAGAGAACTGTCCAAAAGGAAAGACGAGGAGTTTCAGAGGGTGAGAAATTTTTCTCTCACATCATAAAGATAGCTCAAAAAAGACATGGAAAATAATCTCAGGCTATTTTTGCTTTTTAATAATACTGAAAGGCTTTTATTTAATCTGATTCTTAGGATGGAAGTATGGGAATATATTTCTTTACAGAGAGAGAAAAGAAGAAAAATTCCAAAGGTCATCATTCTATGATGGGGCTACAGAACTGCTGGGCAGGGGTAGAGCAGTTGATGTCATCTACCTGGACTTGTGTAAAGCGTTCGACACTGTCCCACAAAACATTCTTGTCTCTAAATTGGAGAGACATCAATTTGATGAATGGACCACTCGGTCAATAAAGAACTGGCTGGATGGCCGCACACAAAGAGTTGTGGTCAATGGCTCAGTGTCCAGCTGGAGACCAGTAACGAGTGGTGTCCCTCAGGGATCGGTGTTGGGACCAGTCTTGTTTAACATCTTTGTCACTGACATGGACAGTGGGATTGAGTGCACCCTCACAAGTTTGCCGATGACACCAAGCTGTGTGGTTCGGTTGATACCCTGGAGGGAAGGAATGCCATTCAGAGGGACCTTGACATGCTTGTGAGTTCGGCTGATGCCAGCCTTATGAAGTTGAACCATGACAAGTGCAAGGTCCTACACCTGGGTCGGAGCAATCCCAGACACAGCTACAGGTTGGGCAAAGAAGAGATTCAGAGCAGCTGATCGATGTGCTGGTCGATGAGAAAATGAACATGAGCCGGCTTCAGTGTGTGCTTGCAGCCCAGAAAGCCAAGCGTATCCTGGGCTGCATCAAAAGGAGCATGACCAGCAGGTCGAAGGAGGTGATCCTACCCCTTTATTCTGCTCTCGTGAGACCTCACTTGGAGTACTGTGTGCAGTTCTGGTGTCCTCGACATAAAAAGATCCTCTGGATCTGTTGGAACAAGTCCAGAGAAGGGCCACGAGGATGATCAGGGGACTGGAGCGCCTCCTGTATGAAGACAGGCTGAGAAATTTGGGGCTGTTCAGCCTGGAGAAGAGAAGGCTGCATGGAGACCTCATAGCAGCCTTCTAGTATTTGAAGGGGGACTATAGGGATATTGGGGAGGGACTCTTCATTAGGGACTGTAGTGATAGGACAAGGGGTAATGGGTTCAAACTTAAACAGGGGAAGTTTAGATTGGATATAAGGATGAAATTCTTTCCTGTTAGGGTGGTGAGGCACTGGAATGGGTTTCCCAGGGAGGTTGTGAATGCTCCATTCCTGGCAGTGTTCAAGGCCAGGTTGGACGAAGCCTTGGGTGATATGGTTTAGTGTGAGGTGTCCCTATGGCTGGGAGGTTGGAACTTGATGATGTTGAGGTCCTTTCCAACCCTAGTAATCTATGATTCTATGATTCTACCTCAAGAGCCAGGAGGATGAGTGGAGATAAGGAAAAGCTTCTTTAGACTGTAGGGGTCTTGGTTTATAATTAACTGTTATAACAAAACCTTACATATTTAACTTTATTGACTACTTACTCTCTTGGAATGAAAAGACTTTGGTTGAAGAACCAGTATCTTTCCCTTTGATTAGTCTTAACTTTCATTGTGATTATTTTGCCTAGAGAAATCTTCCTGACAATTAATAAAAAAAAAAAAAGGGCAATTTAGATATTTTCAGCGAAAAATTAAAGCATAAGAAGTAAAAATAACTTACAGGCCTTTTATTGTACTAGGAAGCATTATTTCCATGGTTAAAAAAACTAATTTGCAAATCACCTTTGTGTGACACAGAAATTTGAATGCACAGTTCAAATAATCATGTTTAGAGACTTTAGCTTTCAGGTGCAGATGAGCAAACAAACAAATTTGGGAGCAGAGTATATGCATCACTTAGTGGTGATACTTTTTTATACCACTTTAAAATTATCTAAAGTAATAATTTTAACAACACAAGCAGATGGAAGCTCTGAATTTTACCAGCTTCCTTATTCCTTTAGTGATTTCCCTCTGCCTCTAAGCAAGTGGCTGTGAGATGAAGGAATGGTAATGTGGCCTGAGGTTTCTGTGATGTTGAAGTACAGGTATGGTATCTGCTGTCTTGACGGGAGGGTGACAGCTCTGTGAAATCCCCAGGTGATGATAGCAGAGGCCAGCAATCAGGGATAAACTCGCTTCTGCAGTCACAGACCCGTGCTGCTTATCATCTGTTATAAGAAGGAAAGTTGTTTCATGTGCAGGTAAGGATTAAACCTTAATCCTTAAACCTTTTCTTTGTGGAAAGAAAAGCCACAGCACACTCCAATGGCAATCCAGCATAGGCAACTGGGATGCAGGACATACATCAGTGGGTGAACTTGGATGCAGTCTGTGTGTATCAGAGCTCTTTCCTGAATCACCAGGAAAATAAATGTAATGTAAAGCAATAGTTACACGTAAGGAATTTGGAGAGATGCTGGTAAGAATTCCTGCAGGAGGAAACCACACAGCTTGTACTAGAACATTAGTTTGTCCTTTTTGTTTATTTGCATGCTCTTATACACATTTGGGAAAATCACTGAAGACCTACTCATTCAATACAGTTTTCATGTATGTTCCCAAGCCTAATTTTTGTTAATAATTTGATGCTTCTGACAGCCTCTTCACAGCCAGTGGGAAATGCCAAAGCTGGGATCTCCTGGCATCTAAGGCAGGCTTTAGACCAGCAGCTACGAACCTCAGTCACTCTTTACCACTCCCCTTTCTGTCTGTAGGGGACACATAATACTCCTGGGATAGAAAAATATCATTATAAAGATAAACATAGTAAAGATGGAACTATTATGGGTCAGTAATGCACAGTGGTGCATTAAAGGTGCCTAAGCAAACTACATATACATCACTGTACATGGAGTATCAGTTGTTCCTTGCAGGATATAACCCACATTTTTTTTACACACTCTCACATAGATCCAATTTGGCATACTTTAGGACAACATTTTAGGAACATGTAAAATGTATAAGGTATGTGATGATGATTGATATACTGCACAGACAGACTCTCTTATGCACACTCTTTACAAGCAGCCCCGCAGGAGTGTTTTGGAAGCAAGTATGTAATAAAAATGACTGTAACATGGCATCCAGCAGAGACTATGGCTCATGTTGAGAAAAAGCTTGCTGTGTGGCTGGATGGCTATGTCAGATATTTACTTATGAGATCTAAGAAACAGAACAAAGGGAAAGATCAAAACATGACAGTGTCAGAAGCATAACATGCAACAGCACAGTAAAAAAGATGCACTTTGATTTTCTGTATTTGCATCATACCCAGAAAAAAGGTAGAAGGAAATTGCTACTCTTAGTCTGTGGTTAAAAACAATTTCACATTTAACCCAAAGAGGTCCAGCCCACCGTACCTGTCATACATGCAATGGTCCTGAGCAGCCTGTACACCCTGGCTCCCTTCCCCTCCAGAAGCAGGATCATAAGGTTTTTTGTATTGTAAAGCTTCAGTTGATAATTATTTGTCAAACCTAGGACAGTTTTCCATACAGCTGAGGAAGGGAGTGAGGTTCCACCAAAAGGCTAAGTCCAGTCTTAAGAGCCCTGGTCTATACTGGTTCTGAAGAAGTCGTTGCCTAAGAGCCTAGTAAATTTATTCAGGTACATCAGGGCTGTTGGGGTGCATAAATAGTTTCTTCTTCCATATCTATGTATGCTCCTACAAATGCCAACCTATGAGTAACATGTTTTGAATTAAGAAGTATTTGAGAAAAATGCCAAAGGCTTTCTGCCTCACAACTGGGCCAGAAATAAGCACATACATATATATAACAGACAGCACAGTGATTTGAGAAGGTCTCCGAGACATTGTATGTGTTTCACTGAGAGGCATTTTTAGCATTCAGGGACTGATTGTACAAATCACATTAAAATTAATGGGAATTGCAAGACTGAGTTTTCTACATGGGATACATATCCTCTTTAAAGACCCTTTATTGCGCTCAGTTAAAAAATAAACAGGCAGTTTATACTTTTTTGGTCTCTCTCTGTGCTCAGTTATACTAATATAAGGAAAGAGCAAGAACAGACACAGGCATTGCTC